TGTGTGTGTGTGTGTGTGTGTGTGTGTGTGTGTGTGTGTGTGTGTGTGTGTGTGTGTGTGTGCGCGTGTGTGTGTGTATGCACAAAAGTAAATGGATTGGAAAAAACTGAGATTATTAAGAAGCCTTACTCTCAGTTGGTGGTTGAAGCTACTTTCAGGTTTTTAGAGTGTCAAATTTCAGTTATGAAAATAACTTTAAAACGTCCATGTGGTATGATAAGGCCAAATCTGACACTATGCAGAGTGRACTCGCCTAGTCCTTTGAAGTCAAACCAGTGCGACGTGCAGTGAAAAGTGGGACATGGCAGGATGGGGCCAGGGAAACAAATGCATTCACCATCCTTGACAAGGCCAGGTCTGAACCTCTGATCTACTTTTACCTTTTGGACACACTGTCTTTCAGTTTCCTGCGTGTTTCCAAAACTACTGGCAGTTTCCTGGCTGCCAGTAGTTTTGGAAACACGCAGTCTTGATACAAACTGGGATCTGATAGGCAGGGACAAGAGACACAAACACCAAAGGCAACACTCACAGGTTCATGAAGAGATGGGGGGAGGCAGAGCACAAACAAAAAAATGTGGATTTACACAACATGAAAGGTGTGTTAAAATGCCTGACCTTCTGTCAAGAAGGAGTGCTTGGCTTTGTTAGTTCAACAAACTTAGCTTGACAGGGGTCAGACAGCGTGGCTGCAGAAGACAGAAACAGGCAGGTTCAAAACTGACACGTTCTCTTTCTCTTGTATTCGTTGTCGCCCTCTATTCAACTTGCCATTCTAACACCACCGGCTCTCTTCTCGAGTTGGTCCGTTTGTGTGTATGTCTGTGTGTGTGTGTGTGGWGCAGGCGGGGGAGGAATGGGGGTCAGCATGTATCCATCATAGCTAATCTGGTGTTTCTTTGTGTTGCTCAAAGAGGATACAAGAAAGTAACTGTTTTCAGTATGTTCGAAAAAAAAATGAAAAAGAACGATTTTACAATGATACAAGTGTGGTCAGATATTTGGAGCTTTTAAAGTGAGTTATGTAAAAGATTGAGCTTTGATAAGACATGACTTTGATGTGGAAAAGTTTTTTTTCTCATTTTCAGAGGCATTTGGAGAGTATTTGAAATCAGTTAATAGACAGACAAAATAAAAGAAGAAAAAAAAACATTTTTCTCATACTTGGCTCTTGAGATGAATTTTCAAATTTAGTCTGATTGAAAGAGATTTTTTTACATTGTCAAAACAGTTTTAAAGCTGTAGAGAGCTTTAAAACTTCACAGCTGTTTGAGTTTATTTGACATCATTCTCATAAAATAGATGTTTTACAACTCTTACCTTTGTTAAAGTATAGCTGAAAATGGTGTTTCTTTTCAGACAACACAGCTGGAATCGTGACAAAGCGGAGTGGCTTCAGACGGCGTTTGCAGGAGATCTACTTCCTGCCCGTTGTCATCGAGGACAATGGCTACCCACCCAAGAGTAGCACGGGGACCCTCACCATCCGTGTGTGTGGCTGTGAATTGGACGGATCCCTGCTAACGTGCAGTGCAGAGGCCATCTTTCTCCCTGTGGGTCTAAGCACAGGAGCTCTTGTTGCCATACTCCTGTGCATCATCATTCTATTAGGTGAGCTTGTCTGTGAAAAACACTAAATTTATCACGGTGATAGTCATAAATCAATTAGCCTATGCACTCATTTGGAATATTGCTGTTCTGGTTTTGACACTTTCAAAAGGTGAAAAAAAACAGTGTTTCTGACAGTTGTCTGTTCTTGAAATTATCATGTAGCCTATATTTATACTTCCCTATCTGTTCTAAAATAATAGTGTGAATCATGTAAATGCAAACCAGTACATACTGCAAATTTTATAGCATGGAGTTAAGTGTGAATGCTTGATACCTCCTGGTCAAACAGTCATTAGCAAGGTGCAACATAGCCTGGAGGCTGAAGGCGAGAAGAAGCTGTCTGTGTGGTTTTAACAAGTATAAATTGAACTCATCAGTTAGACCAAAACCAACTGCAAARAAACATCTCAATTGTTTCATTTGGTAATAAAAAATACCACTTACAGTTTTAATGGGGTGTTTGCACTTGGTTATTTCTTGGCCGTGGATAGATTGACATCCTGGATTCTCTGCTGGTTGCCTGGAGGTCTCAAAGCAGCTACTGGACTCTGGTAGAGTGGTATTGATCTTCCCGTCTAACTCTTGTCAAAAAAAGAGACGAGTTGACATTTTGTGAAATGTCAAACTACTGACATTTCTATTCCACAACTATTCCTGTACTGTTGGTGATTTGAGCTGCCTTAAAAGTTCAAGATTTTTTTTCTTTTCTTTTTTTTTCTTTTTGTCTATGTGTTTGATCTATTTCACTCTTTGTCAGCAAAAATGTCAAAGTTAGGCCAACATGAGTTGATGAAGGAAACATTATTTTTCTTAGACTTTTAGCTTCTTGGCAAATCTGCCAGTTTATTTTTCTTTTTTTTTTTCCCATATTCTGGCTGATCTGGATATTTTAAAGAAATAACAGATGACTAAGATTGATGCAACCTAAGTTCAAACCTACAGCCTCAGAATATCATGTTAGCCACACTGGCAACTGAGCTACTGCAGCCTCCTCCACGTTCATATATGTATAAGTTATAAATGTTGCTAAAATTAGCTGAAATCATTATTTTTTATTTCGTTCATGCTCACATGATTTTCAATTCTTGATCAGAGATCACCCCTAGTGTTGGGCTAGCTTCTTTCCATAAGCGTTTGCATTTAATCATAAAACCCATGTGAACTTTGTCGTTCAATGAGACATTAAAGATTAAAGAGAGGGTTGCTTAGCTCTATAAACTAAATTCAATCTTGCTGCCCTGTCAATGCTTCCCAAGTTACAGCCTTTTATGTTCCCCACAAGGTCAGGGTTATAAAACTCCCCCTTAATCTTCTGCTATTAATTTCCAAACTCATCTGCATAGTCGGGGAGAAGTAAATGTAGGTTTATGGCATCATTTTCCAAATCATGAACACGGGGTCGGCGGTTGTTAAAGAAGTTCTTGTTTTACGCTGGAAGTCAAAGGTAGCAATGACCTTTGGTTTTTAGCTATATTTACTTTTCCTCCATTTCCCTCTAATTTAAATCCTAACAAAGAATACACCATAATTACAATTGTGGCTCATAAGTAATCCGTTCATGGGCCTCATGAATATATTCATGTGAAATATCCACTTACGTTTGATTGTTTTATGTTATCAAACATAAAAGCCAAAGGGTGGATTCTGGTGGTATGCTGCAGAGCTGTGTCAGTGTGTTGCCTTCATCTGAAGACCATCTTCAAAGCTTCAAATTGACTCACTGCCTCAAGGCTGAGGATGATGGCGAACTGTCATGCTGTCCCTAAGAAGGGAAGTAGCAGAGAGAATCAGAACTCACACTGTGAGCATTTCCAAAGAGCCACTTAACTTCTGTGCAGGATTTGTTGTGATGACCCAGTTGTCTTCAGATGAGAACTGGTGATGTAAATTAAACAAACCAGGGCTGTGGGTTTGATTTGCATATCCATTTCCTCCAAACAGACGTGGATTGAGTAGACTTTGTGACGTGATGGCGTTCAACGAGGGTGCCCTACTTAAAGTGACTGTTTCTGAAGTCTACTATGATGCCACTAGGGGGAGCTAGCATACTGCTGAAAACTACTCTAGGGAAGGAAAAAGAGAGGAACTTATATAAAATAGCTTAAATAAAGAGACTGATTCAGTTTCATTCTCTCTCTTTTTTTCCCAGTATGAATGTATTTATTGGACTCTTTCATTTTAGTGACAGATTTCAGAGTTATTCTGGCTATTGCTCCTCCTCCGAGGTGCAGCCATACATCACAAACCCAGAAGAAAAACACATATTTATTGCATTATTCAGTGCATATACAGAGTAAGGGACACAGAGGGGAGATAGACAGAGTAAGACAGATTGCACTGACAGGAGGGAAGGCAGAGTAGGAAATTTACTGCTATGCATTAAAAAGAAAACACAATGGTTGTCGAGTGTGGTGTCTAAAATATGCAGAACCTCAGACAACCTGTGTTGGCTTGTGTGAGCAAAACAAACTGTTGTCCCGGATATACTGTCAGCAGTGCAATTTAACCTTCAATAACATGTGCACTTTGTGTGTAGCCTATTGTTACAAATGCACAACTGTTGGTCTACAAATCAAAACATTGGATAATTAAATTACAGGTCATTAAAATGGCCAGAGATGCATATTAAAACAGTTATGAATTTGTTTAAAATTTAGCTTGGTTGTACAGGACTTTTGTTTTAACATCCCATTAAAATGAAGTAAAACAGACATTTGAATAATATAGCATGAGTTCTATGTTTGCATAAGGTTTGGAGTAATATTATCAGGCTACCAAGTCTTCAAGTCTGTACTTACACACAGCAGGACTTTGAGTTAGTTGCAAACACCAGTGTGATAATATGTTCACTAGTAGAAACTTGTGGAAAGTAATGTTCACCTTTTTGCTACGTGTCTTTGCATTTTAAAAATGAGATTTTTAAATTCTAGTAGAAATGATCTGTTAGCTTTCACAGCTGTTTTTTGACAACCCAAGTCCTAGCAGGAAAAAAAATCTAAATTTAATCAGTCAAAATATGTAAKCAGAGTAATATCTATTTCTTAAGCTAAACTACGCTGATATAGAGTCTTAGTCATCACAGATGTGGACAATTTTAAAAAGTGAAACAAAAGAAACAAACAAACAAATTAGGCTTCTTTTTTTGTATTTGATGACAATTCACCTCCAATCCTGGGACCTTTCTAAAGCTTTCTCTAAACTGGATTGTGGAGTTTTCTGCTTTTAAATGGCACGTGAAATTCAGTCATGCAACCTAAATTCACATGCAGATTAATCTACACACCTCTCACAGTGGAGAGTCATTAGGGCATTTGTTTGCCTGGCTCACAACAGAGCTGTTTTGGTCACATGCCTGAAGGTGTATGGGAGGAGAGCCACCTCTCTTCATAACAAGACTCGGCTGTGCACCTGCACCTCAACAAGAAACAGCATTCTTCTGAGGGCCYAAATGTTCATAGTTATTTTATTGTTTTAGAACTGAACAAGACTGGATGTGACAGCCAATTTAAACGTTTACAAAAATACTGTTTCGACACACGCAATGGCACAATGAGAAAACAAATAGAATTTTACAATGTCCATAATTTATAAACAACTTTTTGTGTAGAGTTGGTTAAAACCAATATTTTTGACAACCTAATATAAGATGCCTGTTTTATGCATATTACATGATTACAAGTCAGAACTTTTCTTCTTTTCAGCTTAGCACAAGTTCATATAGAGTATCTCAAAGTCTTTACCCATAAGGGGCCTCTTCAATATGTTATATTTTAATGCCCTTCTGCCTGTGAAAAGCCTAATTAATACATGAGAGTTTTAGCTCTAAAAACTGCTACCTTTTTATTGTCAGTAAGGCTGTACCTGACATCTCAACATCTACTGTTCATCCTCCTGTTGTGAGGAACAACAATGTACCTGGGTCAGTTTGACCTGGGGAATGTTTAATCATGCAATAGTGTCAGAAACCAAA